TTTTCTTGATTTAGATTGCAAATGCAAATATATCGATGACATATTTTTAAAAAATCACCATGAACCAATAATATTTACTATACAGATTCAATAAATTGGTGAGCAAAACGTCACAATTTAAAAATTTGGCGTAAGGATCTACCCTTGCAACAAATATTGTAATTTTTTTATAAATCGCCATTTTTTTAAATTTTGGTGAATATTCAAAATTAGAATTATTACTTTTGAATAATGAGTAAGATGGTTATTAATATTTATATTTCTTATCAGGATAATCAAGTACATAATAAGTCAAAATTAACTGAAAATATATAAAAAAAGAATAGTGAACAACATTACAAATGTCTGATTTTAATTGAGAATTTTTTTAATGCTGTATGTAGAGGCATTTTCTAACAAATAAGTATTAATTAATAACTTTTTAAGTTATATAAATAGGGCCCCAAAGCCTTGTTAATTAGTATAATACTCACATAACTGGATGAATTTTGCGCAATCTTGGGTAAGGCTGGTATACATTTTGACAATTTTTCCCACTATTGTGTCTAATTGTGATGTTTTTTGTATGTAAAAGTCTATTTACTCTGTATAAACAAGGTAAAAGATTTTATTTCGAAAAAAAAAATCTTTGCAATGAGTGTCTGATTTTAAGTTTCCCTAGTATATCAGACCTTAGGACAGAACTGACTGGACAAGACTAAAATACATTATTTTAAGAACGTTAAGTGAGTCTGTATTTCTAATTTGTCTAAATAGAAAACAATAAAAACAGAACTAAGCTTTTTTTATGACAAATTCGATGTATTTTTCGAATGTCAATGGTTAAAGTTGACATGATTTTTTTTGCAGTTTGCTTTATTACTTCTGTCGATAAAAGGGAAGTATTGTACTCGTGAAAAGTTACCTTCCGAGATTATTTCAGATTTTCACGTTTCAGGTTTCCTAGATTACGAAAAACATGTTTCCCCATTCCGTCGGTCTGTCGGCGCGATATCTCAAAAACGGCTTTATAGAAAAACTTCAAATTTTGTATGCAGATAAGATTCCTTTCTGGCTTAAAACCAATTATACTTCCGATAAATTTTATACAGGTTGAGCAGTTTAAAAATCGGTAGATTTCGACTAACATTGGTATCTGAGAATTCGTATTTAATCAAAAAAGGGTTTTGGGTTTGAGTTCCCTGTTTTTAGAATTTTTATAATACTTTACCGATTTTTTTTGAGATATATGGCGATGATTGAAAATTACGAAGTTCTATAAACATATTAAAAAACTTTATAGGAACTTTTGATACATATATTATGGAAGAGTTCAGTGACGTACAAAAAAAAAATAATATAAACTTATGTTTTTTAATGGAATTCCCTGTATATTTTGTTTTTCACCCAATGTTGAAATTTATAAAATGCCATATTGTGACTCCTTCTGTATGTGAAAAATTAAAATGGTTTATATTTAATTATTCCGGCACCCCCCTCCTATTTGCCAACATCAACACATCCGCAACTCCAGAAAATTCGAATCATTACTGTATATTGTATCAATAATAAAAATACAGTCGAATGACGGGACCAAAATAAAAATCATAAAAGTATGTCGTAACAATTTAAAACAACAGGTCATTGTATTATGTTATTCAGCTGACTTCGTGCATGACTGAACCCATTCAATGAAATTATTTCTATAATAAATGCAGATGGCAGCATCGATCGGTCTACCTTTCTCTCGTTCTATTCGTCCCGCTCGGCGACGTTGCCGGATATTCGCGGTATGTAGCAAATCTAGGAACATTTTTAAAGATTAAAATACTCTAGAAATAAGTCATATTTGGGGTCTATTCTGTAACAATTCCTTTATATTTAACGGCCTTTAAAAATATTGGCGGCCTTTAAAAATAGTTTCGTATTCGTTAATTTACTTCTATCATTATTTAAACAGATTTCTTTAAGATAGCCCTCTAATGTATTTTAAAGATCCGTTTAAATAATGACAGAAGTAAAGGAGAAAATATTTTTAAAGGCCGTTAAATATAAAGGAATTGTTACAGAATAGACCCCAAAAATGACGTAATTTTGGTTCTACTGACAGTTAACATCAATGTGAATTTTATCAAAAAAGATGACGAAAAATGGACAAAAATCGTTTTGGTTGTTGACATATACACTTTAAACACACATAATCGACTACATCTTACGGAAACAAAGCAAATGTTGTTCATAAAAGTTATGTTTATATTATTAAATAATCTTTCCAAACACCACACGAGATAAAACGATTTTTTAGGACATTTTGTGTTTCCTCACGCATTATGCAAAATTCACTAAACAAAATCCTCTCGAAATACCACTCAACTGAAGTCTCATGGTATTTTAAGGAGAACTTTGTTTCGTGAAATTTAGACGCATATTTTACAAAGAACAAAATGTTCTGAAACACCTCGATAACATAATTATATCTATCAAACATTTCAAAATTTTCGAGAAAAGTTATGCACCAATGAATTCATTTTATTTCATTCTGTTCTTAAATTGTTCAGAGTTATTCAAATTTAAAATACTTATATCTATCCACTTCCTCATTTTTGATTTAATTTACAATCGTATTAAAAAAACTAAGAGGGCTGGTTGTCTTGGATAAATAATACCTATCAATTAAACGTCAAAATATTTTGAAGCTGTCACATCTTGTATATCAAATTGTTGGAAATAAATAAAGAAGATTTTATTATACCGGACGATATTATAAGAATATAAGTTTAATTTAAATATCCATAAATAAAAAAAGGTAAGAGTATAATTTGCATAGTCTAAATTAGCTTTTGGCGAGCATGTTGATCGTTAATTATTATAAAATTAAGTTTTATATACATATACAGTAATTTTTAGATATAAAAAATTATTTTACAACTTTTTCACATTTGTTTCCATAGAAACAATTTGATTAAATAATACCAGATGCCATATCTAAGTAAGAAAACTAGAATTTTTATTAAATATTCGATGCTTTTAATATTTTTTTCGAGAATTTTTGGGATGTTTGCAAATTTTTAAAGAAAGTTAAAGGGATTTGTGTTTGGTCCAATATCTCCGGTACTATGCATCATTAAACTCCACATTTTAAAATTAGTTTGAAATATACAGGGTGTTTAATAACTTCAATCTGAAAGAAAATTATGTGTTCTTTAATTTTGTATTTGAACTTCCCTCGCTTTTTCTATTATAATTATTATAACATTACCAAATGGTATAGAATTATGTATACAGAGTATTTCACATGCTATAACCAGTTTTATATGAAAGTCGTATTGATTTCATTCATACATACTGCAAAAGAAACTTTTTTTGGCAGTAAAAGTTTATCGATCCGAACACAATTTTTTTAATTCGTAACAAATCTGTACAGAGCGAGTGGAAATTCAAATAAATTATTTTTTAAAATGACCCTATAGGTATTTTGTATGACGATTCAAAACTATGCTTTCATTTATTACACCTAACATTAATGGTTTTGGGTGATTTTTAAATTTAAATGACAAAACAGATAATTATTCAGATTATTATAAAAAAATAGATTGTGGATTCAAGAATAAATTCACATTACACCTACTCTTAAATATTAATATAATTTTAGTAGCTATAAATATTGTGAACTTTGATGAAGTGGAAGTTGATTTCGAAGATATAATTGATGACTAAGTTATTTTTTGAAAATTTCTTCTGGTGTTACAGGTCTTTGAGCCAATCGAGCATCCGATTGGAATATACAATATTCTTCAAACTCCTTTTATTCTAATACCGCGGTTCTAATCTACACGTTTTAATATTGGTGTCATAAACTGTACCAACTTCAAATAAAATTATCTATCTATAATATCATTGTTTTAGTAGACATGCTTAATTTTTATCTGTTGCAACAGATAACAAACTAACGTGTGATTATTTTTAAAACATGGATTATGATTATTAAAATTCGGTGCAGCAAACATTATAGAATAGTATTCGATTATTTCCTTTGTTTACGTCACAGAAAGAAAAGCTGAACCATAGGTCGTGCTGATTTTGCACGTTCACATCCGTATCACCGTAGATAAAATAATTATGAGATAAAGATGTATGAAGTACCGGTATCAATAAGTAAAAGGTGTTCATCTAAACTGTGCGATTAAATGTGTGTGTTTATGTGTAGTACCTGAAAATAGTGGTATTTTAGATTAATTTTCCAGACTTTTCGCAGATTAAAAAAAAATCTCAATATTTCATGGGAAATATGCTTTTTTGACACGCTTACTCCATTCATTTTAATGTCTAGTCGGTCTAATCAGATAGTATTAAGTTTTTTACACCTGGAGCTGAAAAGTATTAAGCACCCCAATAATTATGAAATTAGGTGTGGAACTAGATAAAATAATATTTAGTTTAAACAATATTTATTTATGTCGGTCATTGAACGTTTTCTAATACTCTTTGCACAAATACATGTGAAAACTACAGATATTTACCATTAGACGAGCAGGAAACGAATATTATCAGCGTTGCCAGTTTATATAAACGTTTTTGCTTGTTTCAAAACTAATAATAATCCAAACAGAAGTTGAATATAATTTTACTATAGCGAAATAATGGTATTCTATTTCTATTCTAATAATACGCGATTTTAAAAATGTAAGAATTTTCGAAGCTTTTTAAGTTTTAATTTTTAATGTAATGCTATTGATAATTTTTAAATCTGAAAAATCTCTTCTTTTAATTTTCTTACTAGTTTCGTTAAACCAAATTATATTTTGAATACAACTACGCACAATGTGAAACAAAGAGATGAGGTTTGTTATTGTTCATTAAGGTTTTTTTTTTTGTTAATTATAAAATTGACTACTCCAGAAGATTTGTTTTCCGAAAAATATAAATTATACACGTTTAAAAATAATAATTACTGCATTTATGTTATGTGTTTAGTAGTTTAACGATTTGCAAATAACTAATAGATGAATTTTTCGTTTCAGCGGAGTGGCAGTGTTGAGTTGCACCGATTGCAGCGGCAGCAGTACCGCCTCCAGCGACATCACCGATCCTGGATCGCCGTTCAGTACAGCGTCGAGTCATTCCGAGGACTCCGGCTCACAACCAGCTAAAATGCCCCCCACGCAAACCGCCCATCACCCTTGGCCACCTTGGACCGCCGACGAAGGACCCACTTGCAAACGCCCCGCCCCCGCCACAGCCGCCTATCCCGAATCCATCGAGGACGTCAAGCGGAAGACATGTCTCACGTTCACCGCTAAAATCGTACCGCAGGATAAGCTGATCAGCAGCAGGAATAGTAGAAAGGGTATGCAACAAGGCAAGATTACAGAGTATTTCAAATCGCAAGTTAAATGTAATGGTATCAAACGAGATATATTGAACATGGTAAAGAAACCTTTGATTGGCAAGATGTTGGTCGATCAACAAACGCAATTTAACAGTCTGAAGACGCAGAACATCCGTAAGGACCAGAAGAGGGCTGCCGCTAAGAAGATAGTGCAATCGAAAATCAAGAAAATCGCTCCGGTATCAGTTCCTAGGAAAATACTGCCAGCGCCAAGCAATATTACCGATAAATTAACAATCAGCGATCAGTTGAGCAACTTAGCCAAATTTACGCCGACTGTGACCCTAACTGCCCTAAGCTTTCCTCCGAATTATACGTACATACACGCTAAAGGCCCTAAGCCGCAAGAATCGCCCATATATGTACCCCAAATTCCCATACCCATCATCAACCGAACACCTTGTCTGAATGTGATACAACCAGTGCAAAAGTTAACGGCGATAAACAACTTTAATTGTGTCAAATTGAACGCGACAGTGGTGCCTATTGTCAAAATGCCCCACAAGATCACCAGTCCTCCCCCAGCAACTCCATTAAGTGTTCCAGTTACTCTCCCTCCATCACCAGCAATGATCCCGGGCGTTACGTTCAGCGTAGACACTGCTATTCCCACAGTACTATCGGCCAAACCTAGGGTACCTTCTCCTGCGATACCTTTACTGATGAAGCAAAGCGCGGTGCCCAGCGGTACTGGTACCGCTACTGGTACAAAAACACTGTTGGAGAACGTGCGTGATAAATACCGAGCCGAGGATAACTCCAGGACAGAGGAACCGCATAGGACTGAAGAGTGCACGCGAGAGGAGAAATCTCCAACGCCTACTACGGATTCGGATAGCGGTATATCGAACAAAGAGTGCTTGGAGATAATCGAAGTGTGTGTTAGTGAACAGGTGACAGTCGAGGAGCAGAAATCGCCCATTCTGTCCAAGCCGAAGACGATCCGATTTCCAGCCAAGCAGGTCGACAAAGAAGAAGGAAAATCGACGCAACATTCGACGGATGGCCAGTGTCGGTGGACTGAGTGTAATTCTTGCTTTGATACCAGTGGGGCCTTATTAGAACATCTACAGGTGAGTCAGGTCCGTCCGGTTTTGACGTTCTTCGGAAGCGGCGTCTGTCAATTTTGACGACGCGATTAGTGTAACGGTTAATAATTGTTCCAGATTTGATATATCGAATTTTTTGATTTGTTCTTGAGGTAATGCGTTGCTTTTACCGGTAGATTAATATTTATCGACCATCAGGAACAGTGAGTGATTTTGTTAACGACTATATGAATGAAGCTAATCTGAGAGGAACAAATTTAAAATATTTGTGAAAAGAATTAAAAAATGCCCAAACGGAAGCTTTTAACGCAATGATTCTGAACTACATTTAAGTTCACAAATCGCCCATTTTCATTTATCACCTCGAACTTTTACTTTAGTCGAGTTCTTCCATATGCCATTTTCTTCTGCACTTTTCTTTGTTCTATGTCATCTTCAGGTTCATCAATATGTTTTTCTTGACTACTTTTCTATTCCCTATATTTTTTCTTTTTCTATTAACTAAAATTGAGCTAAAATCACATTTTGATTCGTAGGTGTATTGCGACTCTCTAAACTAAAGCAATAAAATTGCTACTGAGGCATTAAGATTTTTACAGAACCTCATTAAAATTGCTGTTAACAAATAAATTTATCTCTAAATCATTTGAGTAGAATTAAAATGTGTCGTAAATAGATTTCACTGTTGTCAAAAGTAAGAATTATAGATTTCTATTACGATATATATATATAAAAAAAAAAAAACAGTTGAGCGAATGTCCATACTTTACATACATACTGATAGTTTTGTGCTTAAAGTTAATACAATTAATTTTTATGAATTAAATAAAAATTATATACATCTATTCATAAAACAATAAGTAAACTAATATTGGATAATTTTAAAAACACAAACCAAGTTATCAGCATATTTTTAGGGAGAGAATTGAAATAATATTACATGAAATACAAAAAGAATTCAATAAGGCTAAGGGTGTTAACAACTATGTAATACAAAATCACAATAATAATAACTATTGGCTATTGTCTGAAATTGATCGATTTTTATTTAAAAAAATTAATACATTCAGAAGCAAATTACACGATATATACACTGGAATTAAAAACAAAGTGGCAAGCATTTAAAAGATCCAAAAGCATTACGGATTAAGCCCTAAATTATTCAAATACCTATGGAAGTATTAAAAAATCCACATCGTCTTTTTAACATACTTGGGAAGCATTATGTTTTTTTTTGTAGTAAATTTTATGCCTAAAATTCGACATAGAACATCGTCATTTTCTTTCAAGAATGAATATTTCTAGTTAAATTTCCTACAGAACCATTAATTTATTACAGTAATCTTTACAGTTTTATTAGAAAGCATTATAATTCCTACATGAAAATCTATAATTTTCTCTAGAAGTATTAAAATGTTCCTTAGTGTTCATTAGGTTAGAAATTTAGTAAAATTACTATTAAATTAATTTCTCTCAAAAACATTAATTTCTACCTCAAGTCTGACAATTTCCAAATAAAGCATCAAAATTCTATACTAGAAAGCAATAAAATTCCACTAGCAGTCATTAAAACTTTTGGGTTCATTATTTATTAAAAACCTAACGATCTGAATATTATATATTACCGTGAATCCTTTTTATTAAAATCCACCTCTGAATAACAAAAGCATTCTAAATCATTCTAAAACAACAAAATTAACCATGAAGCATTAAAATTAACTCTGAAGCAAAACGAATCTCCCAGATTAGTAAAAATGCCACCAAAGAGTTAATGTTATTCTTGAAGCATCACTGAAACATCACTCTAAAAGCATTAATTCATCTAAAGCGTTACAATTTCTAAAACTGAATCAATACACTTTTTCTACAAATTTTTTTTATTGGATATCATTTAGCTAAAGATAGAACTAGATCGCGCTAGGTTTATTTTTTACTATTTGCTTAAATCATCCCATATCCAAGTTCATCTGTAATATTAAATGTTTTCAGAAACATGAAAATAACTTCCAAAACATTGTTCCTCTATCCCAAGAGACATAATTTCTTCTTGATCAAAATTATTTGAAGCATTAACGCTTCCACAATAAAATTAAAATTCTGTCTGACAGGGAATTTCTCTTGGTTGAGAACCTGATGACCTTTGGTCTATTGACTACCAGTAGCAGCAATTACCTATTTTTGTCAAAGAACATTTGAACAACGTTTCTCAGAAAGAAAAATTCGTAACATTCTTGTGAAAATAATAGTTTATGTGCTACGGTAACAATATGTATGTCTTTCTAGTTTTCATAGGAAAAGCTGCACCATTATTAGGACTCATTTTTTACCACATAAGAGCCATCCCATCCATCATCTTCATAGATAATTTATTCCTGATTTCTGATAACTAATGATAAACCTATGGTTGTGCTGGCGAACAGATTCCACTGGTTACGCTACACGTTGTGTATGTATTTTAATCTGTTAGTCGCCATGGCTGTAGATCTTTTGATTTATAGATATTATGGGTTATACAGATCAATGCTTCTAGACGTCTCAAGTATTCTCTATTGTAAAGGAGAAGATAAGATATTTTTATGTGCTCACAAGCTGTAAGACATTATCGCCAAAAAGAGTTTAAAATTAAAAAAAAAACAATTGCATATATAAATTTTTGTCTTGTGGTTCATGGGTGCATTTTTAAATGCGTCTATAGTACAAGATTTCACAATTTTTCTGCAACTAAACATACTTGTACATACTTATTATGAAAGCTTATTATCAGACAGTTCAAAAAAAGTTGTTGGCAATTCTTCTGCATTCTCAGGAACAACGTGTATTTTCAAGGACAATATATGTTCTCAATTGCTGTTACAGATCAAAAGGACCTTGAATTTCAGTCATTATGGTGACGCATAGACCAAAAAATTCAAGGTGGTGATAATAATAAGTCAATAAAAAATTCTTTCCTAATTTTTGCAAGGTCCGTTGCACTATTTATATCCTTTGTACTCAAACAAAAAGCACTGCAATCTAGGATATAATATACATTATTATTACTTTCGTAATAAAATTTGGGTCATTTGGATCTATTTAAAGTAATGTTTTGGCTATTTGGCCTTTGTTCTTGATATTCTTTCCTAACAGGATTTATATATTTGTTCTTTAATTTGGTTTAGATCCTGCTTCTTCATAAGGACCATTTTCCGTTCTATTTTCTGCATATTATAATTATGTAAACATTTTGACTTTAATTCAAAACTATTTCTGTCTCACTTCCAAATTCTAATTCTAAAATGTTTATAATCTACAACTTAGTTAGGTACATTTTATGTATAAATCTGTTGGGAACTGAACCAAGTTTGCATTAAAACTATCTAGTAAACTCTCACACACTCTACACTCTTTTTTTGGTGATATAAAATATCACCAGCATTAACACTTCCGCTATGTCAGAATAATTGTGAAACCTTCCCTACTAGACGCAATCGTAACTTTGTATAACGTAGTTTCCAATGTTTTAGGTAAAACATGTGATATCTCAAACAACTCAAGAACATTACGTGTGTCTATGGATAGGGTGCAAGGTGCATGGTAGGACGTCGTGTTCAAGATCATGGCTGGAACGACACGTGCTCGCGCATGCTGGAACCAAACCATTCAGGTGCATAGTGGACGGATGCGGTCAAAGATTTACTACGCAGGTAGGTTAACTTAAAATATTTTTTTGGTTACATATAGCATAGCACTTTGAAATATAGAGGAATACTCTATAATGATACTAAAGAGCAGTCTAGTTTGTCCACACTGCTGGCAGGGCCGCCGAGAGCCAGGCCGGGCCGCCGAGAGCCAGGCCCGTGACAATTTTATAAAAAATATTCTCTCCTCTTTACTTTCTGAAAAAAAAGCTCTTCAAACAAAAACTTCCCCTTCTTGTCTTGTGCCGAACTTCTCAAAGAAAACAAAAAACCTCGCCATGGTTGCCGGGCCCCCATTTAAGTCCAGGCCCCGGGAATTAGTCCCGGCTGCCCCCTCGTCTAGTCGACCCTGACTGCTGGTAATTTTTGTGAGGTTTTGTTAATGCTCTTTTTGCATATTTCACCACATTTCTTTAGAAGTTTTAAAATCGTTCTCATTTTTAGTTAATGTTGGAAAGGCACGTGAATAGTCACTTCAACTCTGATGGTAGTCCAAATAACAATCTTAAGAAGTCACCAGAGAACGGAGTTTGCAAGCTGTACAAGAGAAATGGAAAGAAAATTAGGTTTAGAAGACAACCTTGGTCGGGTAAGTTTCCCTACCTGTAATATCAATTTGAAATCACGTTGCTTCACTATCTCAGATATCTAACACCCAAAAGTGAAGTACTACGCCGTTGAGTTTGGAATCTGGACGAATTGAAGCAGAAAATTAAAAAAATTAATAATCTAATTTAATTTCTGTTTAGCACGAATGTTCGACTTCCTGGATTCTGGTATTATGGAAGGCCTTCAGTACAAGCTCCTGTTCTCTACTCAGAAAAGGACGTTAGGAAAAATCAATGAGCCTGGCGATAGCGTTCATTTACAAAGCGAAGTACTAGCTAGACGTATAGAAACTGACGGTAGCGTGAAATATCTACTCAAATGGCATCCGGCTGATATGTAAATACAAGTCTCTAACATCATATATCCATAGATCTAACTGTTTAATATGCAATACTTCACCAACAGACATTTTAATACTAGACATTTTTATTCTCGACATTTTAATAATCGACATTTTATTAATCGACATTTTAATAAACGACATTTGAATAATTGTCATTGTAATAATCGACATTTTAACATGGCATAATATGCGAGATTTTTACATACCTACCTTACCTAATAAACGACATTTGAGATAAAAGTTCCTTGGATAAATGGCAATTGAAATAAAAATTCCTTTGATAAACGACACTTGATATGCGACCATTTTAAGAAATATTTTAATATGCGACATTTTAATATATGCCATTATAGGATACGACATTCTGACGAGACATCTACTATATATTTTCTCTTTGATTATCTTTTGAAATTGTTGCAGCGTTCCCGACGAATGGGTGCTAGAGAAAGAGTACAAACCCACTAAAGTAGTATCGATACCTCGCCTGAATCCTTCTTCGAAAACGGCCTTAGGCCCTTCATTGTTTCCATCGTCGATGAGCCAACAGGAAACAACAGCAGCACCTTTGCCAAGACAGAAACATAGTCGTAAGCCGATATTCAAGCGAACGTGATATAATGTTGTTATTTAAAGTAATATTTAATATTTTTGAGCCTTTGTATGTAAAACAAAACAAAAAAAAACGTTGAGCTATTTGGTGAGCATGGCTAGATTAGGTTTTGAACTGTCATTTGTCTACGATGAATTTGACGTAACAAATGACAGTTGACAATAGTGGTAATTGATAATTGTTGTTACGTTTTAGGAAAAATCATAAATTGGTGCTTTCTTGGCTTCAGACATCAGCTCAAGGGTGCATTAGACATTCAAATTATACAAAGCGTCCTATTTTCAGAGGACGGTACGTTTAAGTATTTTGTTTTTTGTATCAAGTTTGGCGGCGGACTGAAAAAAAAGATTTATAGTACAAAAAAAATGTGTGGCCATATAAAATAATTGTTTGGCTCAAATCGGGTTGCCATTTTTTATTTTAGTTTTAATGATTTATTTTCGAGTATTTTTTTAATTTCTTAATTAATCATCGTGTGTTAAGTTTCATTTTTCATTTATTGGATATGATCAATCGGTAGATATCCAAAGAAAGTATTATTTCATCTCATCTAGAGGAATTCAAAAAATTGTCTGAAATTTTGAACATTCTTTAAAAGCTATTTAAGTTTATTTAGCAGCAGTTGGCAAGTTGGCATTCTTATGTTTATTTTCTTATTTTAGTTCTATGCAGTTTTTTACCGCACTAGAATGTAATGGCTTACGTTGTTTTAAATAAGAGTTATGTATGAATTCTTGAATATTTTTCAAGCAGCAATTGGCATTCTTATGTTTATTTTTTTATTTTAGTTATATGTGTGGTTTTTAACCGTAAGAGGTTTTCTGTCACACGCGGTTTTTCTGCCGCTCGCGATTTTCTGCAGCGCGCGTTTTTTACCGCACCAGGATTTTAATAGCTTTATTTTAAATACAGGGTGACCCAAATAAAAGTGGTTGATTTTAAATGTAAATGCACAGCTTATTAATTGCTCTAAAATATTGGGTTTTCAATAATTGATTTCCTTTATTCAACAGTTTATTTAAAGTTCAGAATCATCACTTATAATACTGGAATTGCTTTTAATTCCTTTATACAGAAAGCTTTAAAGATCGTTCAATGTATCGACTCGAAGGGTCAAATTTCATCATCTCATTCATCATTTCATCAACAAAACTTCTTTATTTGTTAAAGACTGAATAACGAGGCGTTAGAACAAAATTAGGGATTAAAAGACTTTTGGCTTTGATGAAAGTAGCGAAAAGGATCAATTTGTGTAGTCATTTATCAAATTTTAGTTTATGATACAATCCGGTCGATGTAGGTCACCAAATAGGTCCGGCGTTGCGTTAGAAACTACTACTTTTAAATGGTCAACAATTGTACTGATATCTACTACGTAAAAAGAAACGTAAAAACCGGAGATTTAAATGTGATATATATGTTTTTTTTTGTATGTGAAGAAATAGGAAATAGGTGGCTCGTCAACGCACAAATATTAGCAATAATTATTAGTTAAACAGAAAGGAATAGGAATGCATTTATTATTCGATTAAAGCGTCATTTTTGCTTTATAATAAGGCTAATATTTTCACTAAACCCCCTTGGCAGCCATCCCCACCCCTTACTCTTGGTTTTTACCCGATCTAGTACGTTTTGAAATGGATCTCTGTGTGCAAAGGTTCTACGATTCGATTTACCTTTTTTTTTAAATCTTGTTTTTGTAAAATACGGTAAATGGATGTGTATATTTGTGAAAAGTCTTTCACTATTGTAAAGTTAGGTTACGTACGTGTATAGTAGACAAGTAAGGAAACGTTTGTTTTTTTTTTATGTTCTAATCGAGAGAAACTGTATCGCGGTTTTGACCATTTAACAACCAGCCCGAAATCACTGCCATTGTAACGAAATCTGGTTGAATAGTCGTTGAAACCTTCCGCCTAGATATTTTTAGGTTGAGGCAAAAAAAAACGTAAAAACGGTCGATCACGATTTAAAAACCTTGATGACGTGCTTATCGATTTAACCGAATGAAAAATATCAATCCGGCTCGAAGGACCCATACAAAATTATCGAAATATTAAACCGGAATAAATATGACAACTCTGTTCAGGAGGGTAAAATCTTCCTCTTTCACTGTTAACTTACTAAGGACCGTTTCCACCGTTGTGTTAAACGGAGATTATAATGACATTGTTAATGTAAAAATGTCACTTTAAACTTCGTTTAACACAACGGTGGAATCGGTCCTAAGTGACCTTTTCTGCTTCTTTCTCGGATTTATCTCTTCCTAATATTGATTATCAAAATAATGCACTTTTTCGACTCTTTTTAACAAAAAAACGTTATATTTCTTTAGCGTTTTCAACGGAAAACCCTGCTACATTTTTGTAACGTTTTCAAAATTTTTGACGTTTCTAGTCAACGAAAATCTCTGCGTTTTTTAACGTTCTCTACGCTTTTGACGATTTCAATTCAATACGATATGGGGCAAAGGAAAGCATCTGAAAGGCGCTGAAAGCCTCGAAGGCACTCAAAAAAGGGCGACGTTTTTTCCGTGTTATTTCTGCGATATTCGTTTAACATGTCTTCTTATTTTTGCTTACTTTGCCATTGCCATAATAACTATTAAGGCATTTTAAACCAAATTATTATAAGTAATGTTTTGGTTATTATACCTAGATTCCATTTTTTTTTAATATAATTGTTTTTGGATCATTAGGGACAAAAATCTTGTTTCTGATGGTTTGTATTTGCCAACAATGTTTAAAATTTTAACATCTAGAGGACGAAACCTTATCTTGTTGATATTCAAAAAATTTCAAACAATTTTGCATGATCGTTCGAGCCTTATTGTACGAATAATTATGTGGATAAATGTCAACGTGGCATCGATGTTTTGATTTAAAATGGCTTACAAATTTAATCATTATAATTATTATTGTAAAGCAAATATTTTATACCTTTTGGTATACTTTAATGCTTTTCTGAGATTTGTCATCCATCTGATTAAAAGGAAACTGCATCTTGTATTTCACTTAACTTCTCTTAAGTTTTGAATATCGAAAGAGCTTTGCCAAATACTAGAAATTTTCGGCGTATCGTGGGTTTTTAAATACGCAGATCGATCGTTTCCGGATTTTTAAGCATAATTTGTACATGTAATTTTTTTAGTTGTAATTTTTGTGTGTTCGCAATGTTAATATACAAAATAATTTTTAAATAATTATACATATATACATATGCTTTTAAAACAATTTCTCTATATATTTTTTTTCGTTTAGTTATTCGTTCTTCTCTTCGTTTGTTACATTCCTATTTTTTACCTTTCCGATTTTCTTTTAAGCTTTTCATTGATAAATCAATAAAGTAATGTCAGTTTGTATTTATTTTTGAACTTGTGATCCGTTTTGTTCGATTTGCGTTTTAGCTGAGATTCGTTGGAGTGTCAAATGCGTTTCTTGGGTCGATAAAGGATGCGAATTAAGTAAAATTAAATGTCAAACTCGACCTATTAGAAGCTCATTAGCGTCTAAACCATAAATTGTATCCGTCACTTCAATTATATCAAAAATAAACGTCAAATGACAGTTTTGATTTGACGACTACTCTAATGGGTTTCTGAAAAAGTCGACATTTACATAAAAGGCTAAAAAATGATTCAAAATTACAATAATGCGTGGTTTTGTTGATATTTTTATTTTGTCATGGATTTGGAGATTCTAATAAATGTAGACGTGGTTTGCGAACAAGAAAATGACGTTTTGGTAGAGGTTACGAGCTATTTAGAATCCAAACTTTCTTACAAACATAACAGTTTACTGTTGAATATTTTCTGAATATGGGTAAATTGCTGAAATACTGGCGTTTTCTTTAACGGGGATCGATTTGTACCCGTAACATTTTAAATTGTAAATTTTAATTTTTCCAACAAATATCGAGAACGAAGTTGAAAATTAATAAATTACTAAAATTTCGGCATTTTCTGACGTAGGTCGATTGCAAGTCATTTGTAACTATTAACGTTTTCATTTGTAAAATCTTAATTTTTCCAACAACTACCATACTGTTCGCAAACTGTGCCATACTGTTCACAAGGCTGGTGCAGTTTTGTGGACAGTAGGGTTCAGTCTGGTAGACAATATGGCGTAGAATGTGCATTTCAGCATTTTCTGACGTTGGTCGATGGTAAGTCATTAACACTTTCTAGTTTTTAAATCCTAATTTATCTTTTAAACGAAGTAGAACGTTAATAAATTATACAAATTTTTAAATTTTTCTGACCTTTGTCAAGAGTAAGTCATTTGTAATCATAACGTTTTTATTTGTAAATCTAAATTTTTCCTACAAACCTCGAGAGCGAGTTTTTCTGCAATAATCCAAAAAATATCCACTCATTACCTATTTACCAAACTTTTGAGGAAGGTCGTTTGTAAATAATTTACAATTAAGTGCAAAAATCAATTTACTATTTGTAGAATTGATAGAAATAAAGTATCTATTTTCTTAACGTAGCTCAATATTGTTTTTAAGTCCTTAATATTTCGAAAGTAGCATAAACAGAGGTAATTTCTCGATTAAGATCGTTCTTAAGTCATTTGTAACTGTCTGTAATTATAAGATCACCATTTGTTAGGCAGTTTAGATTCAAGCAATTATTTACAAATAGTATGTGGGTATTTTATAGAAATAGATCAATTATAAGTCATTAGTAAATGTTTTGTAACTGCTCATAAATCGCTTGTAAGAATTATTGATTGGCTTAAAATCTCCTATATTTCAGAAAATATTCGTTATAATTATACAATTAAGGATATTATAAACATAAATCGTTTGTAAGCTGATATAATATAAGCAATAATCATTTCCATGTAATAGGTGTATGTATTTTTTGGCCGCAAATTATTTGTAGGTCATTAGTAACTAATAGCTCATAAGCTTCAATCAAAAATAGTTTGAATTTCACCACTTCGCTTTTACATATATCCCTCACTTTGACCATCCAAGACTCAATTAAAACGTGAACATCAGCAATACCAATCGATACAAGCAAACAAACTTAAAGAGAGAGCCTATCAAATATCAAACATTCGGTTGTTCTTGATTCTATTGAATCTGAAAACTTCACACTGCCCCAATACTGCCGGCTAACGCTACACTTAAAAATCCATAATAATAAGAGCGTATCTACGATCAAAGCCGAATACGAAGCTTCCAGATTTACAATTTTTAAAAGACTTAGACTTGAACGGCCATTTTCTATCTGTTCCGTCGATATACTATCAAAAATGCATTTATCCAACCGGAATTTTAAATCGATTTAACGCCAATTACAGTCTTTTTTTTTATTGATTGGAATGTAGATTAAATGGCTATTGCAGTATTTTTTAACGATGGATACTAGTGTACTGTATTATATCTTGACGCTCACTAGTAAGTGTTTACTATACATTGTTGCATTTTAAATTATAAGAATTGAAAAAATAATAATAATCAACTGAATTTTTCTTCCGGATAGAAAATGGCTGCCATCTAATACTTCTGTTAAAATAAATGTGTTCATTCGTATCGCTTTATTCAGTAGGACGTTTTTTGAGTACACACAGTGTCTTTAAGAATAAAATATTCTGCATTTAGTAGTAAAAAATCCATAAATCATTTTTTTAAATCAACGCACAATTTTTTTTAAGTAATTGCGTGCTGCGATATTTGTAATTTATATGTTGTTTTGTTATTAAATTTATTAAGACTTGATAAAAGCTTATTTGTACCTCTTTCACCATTTATGTCACAATCCAAGTGTTCACCGAGTGCCATTTGTCTATTTCCATAACATTATTTATCATCCCAACTTTTATACGAAATATGAACGTTTAGATATGTTACTTCAATTAATTGAACAGTTTTCTTAAAGTTACAAGAACCATGACACAACAATTTGTATAAATATAAATCGGGAAATATCTCATATTGAGACTTTCGCGTTCAAAGCACAAAGAAGGGTTTTAAGTCTCGTCAGTCGGACCGAAAACTGAACTGTTTTTACAGTCTAGTTAGTCGGACCGAAGACTAAACTGTTTTAACAGTCTTCTTAGTGCTTTTATAGCCATCCTGAAGTCTAACAAACAAATTTTTAAATGAATATATTTCGTATACTTTAACTGTCATTTATTTCAAATGTAATTAATCTTCCAAGTGATCTCAAATATGTCAGGACAATGAAAATCTTTCCAGTTGACGCTCTCCTTTTGGGCACATGTCTATTGCGTTGAACGAAAAGATTTCCATGAACTGACAGTACTTAATCCATAAAGTTCGAAATTTTCGCTGACTTTTGGCCCTTGGACTTGTTTTTTTATTAATAAAATTAGACTGAAATCGAATACAAATTAAATTAATTTTATACATGACTGATTTGTTTTAAATGCAATGAATCCAAACGCTGTTTCCTGCTGCTTTTTCACCATCGCCCATTGAATGTAGTGACCTGTAAATACGAAAGAAAAATATTTTAATCAAACGATGTACTTAGATTCAGAGGTGACGGTGGAAAAGCTTTTGGTGTACATAAACTTTGAAACCGTAGAGCTACAGATCAAGCACTATTAGTAATACACAAAACAAAAATTCGTTGATGTTTGATTTTAGAATCTAAATCTTTTTTTTTTTTATAAAAATCAGCTATTTTTAAAATGTTTGGCTAAAAGTTTGATAAAATGCAAGACATAATGAGAAAATAACTTTAAAAAAAATTAATTTTAGTGATTATTTAGGGAAAATATAGACTATTTTACGTCATCCTTTAACCTCCTAACACACATATCAATTGGTTAATTCTAATTTCATATTGTCTGCATACATACTATTACTGTTTCACTTTTTATATTCTAGCAGTCCTCTTTCAACTCCTCTGTTACAATTTGAACTAGTGACATTAACTAGTCTGACGGAAGCCGGACTTATATTTACAGTCTTACAATGGATGTCTTCTATTCGGATACACACACACAGTACTTGAGCCTAAGTCGGGAAGGTTCCTATCCTGTTAAACTGGAACGAAACCCGCCAGACCCCACCTACCCCCCTGACATCCTCCCTACAGGTGGCCTCAAATTTCAATCCTTTGATTAGTATGCCATTCCTTTTTAAAGGGCTGTGAAGGATGACATTATCATCATTTAGACAGGGTTTGCTGAGGACATTTCCCTGTTTCGTCGTCCATTTGTTTGTCTTGTATGTGCTCGTTCTGTGAGAGTCGCCACTTGTGAAAGCTCCCTCAGTCTCCTACTTAGCGACTAGGAGGACCTTCTCCTCCAGGTGGATAGTCGTCAGTTGCTCAGTCCTGGTCTGATTCGCGTGTTGCGTTCTGTAAGAGTATTCTGAAAGAGAATCTTATAATCTATGAGTGTCTTAAGTTTTGCACCCACTAAGGTTTGGTCACTCTTCGCCATAGTCCAGTACTTTAAATGATCTGGTGTGTCTTCTATAATCTGCTCTTTCGTACTCTGCTAATTCTCTCAGTTCCATATTTGGGTCCTTAATTTTTCGAAGGTGTCAGTGGCCTTCTTGTGGATGAGGTCTAGGACCCTTTTAGATTCTAGATCCCTCATGATTGTCATTTCTGGTGTACCTATAGGCATTTGTTTTACAGGTGTATTCCCATGCCGTCGAGGCGTACATAAGGATGGGTATTATGACTGCCTGGATGATCCTCATTTTCGTCAAGAGTAAAAGTTTACTTCTATATCCTATTAAGCAATTCAGTATTGCTCTTGCTTGTTTTGTTTTATTTACTAACATGTCCACATACTTGGTGAAGGTGAGTCCTAGATATTTGGCTTGATTGGTCCATGGGATGTTCTGTCCATTCATCGTGATTTCTTCTCCTGGTAGGTGATGTCTCTTCTTAAACATAATAGCCTGTGTCTTCTCCGTGTTGATCTTGATCTTCCATCTTATGCACCATTCTTCTATGTCTTTCGCTGTATCCTATAGATATCTTGTCTGCTTGGTAGTATGTTGGGTTTTCGGGATATCTGCTGTGTAAATGGTATACAGCAGTGGTGACAGTACCGCTCCTTGAGGTACTCCCGTTTCTGGAATTCCAGGTCGTGATAGGACATGTCCCATCTTGATCCAGAATTGCCTTCCGCAGAGGTACGATCTGAGCAGTCCTGTTATTCTTGCTGTGTACCCTTGGTCTTTCATCTTGAAATTCAGCCCAGCATGCCATACTCCATTCGGATAAAAGACTAACAATCCTTTTTATTGACGTTTAAAGACGGATGACTAAACTATCAGTCATTTTACTGACGTTTAATAGTCTGACGGAGGACTAAACAACATTAACAGTCTCTTTTTATTGACTTTAACTAGTCGGACGGAAGATTTAATGCTTTTACGGTCTTATTTCCAGAAACAGATACTTTTTGGGGTATTTTCTGATTGTGGCTTGTGCAATCCTTGTAAATAATCGTAAATTTAATAAAAATAAACCGAATTATGGCTACAAATTGTGCCTTGAACTTTGACTTCTTATGTCGATTTATGTTTTGTGTGTAAACTTGTGGTGTTTGATCTAGCAGCGATAACTTTCATTCACTGTAAAATAAGTATGTTTATTTTTGTTTAAAATCATAAACATAATTTGTATCTACCAAATATCTCTAATTCAGATAAATAGAAAAAGAAAATTATTCTTTTACCATTGCATTTAGGAGCGTCTCTAAAGAGTAAGACTGTCAAAAAGAATTATATCGTAACGATGTAGGAAATTTTATAAACTAGTTGCATTTACTTTTTAAGATATCGACAAAAAATTGTTTTTTTTTTTAAAATAATTTACTGTGTTCATTTTTATTGTATTTATTAATTAATTTATCATAGTTTATTCGTAATACATAATTATAATAATTGATGGAAGCGGAAAAGATCGCCAGTTTTGTTTTGCAAATTTACGACAAAAACGTGTAACGTAAGATTTCTGAAAATAATTTACACGAATACTAGAATAATTTAATGTTAATTTTTCAAGTAATAACTTTTTCCAACTGATGATTAGTTGTATAGATGGTAGATTAAAAATTGTATAAATAAATCATTTAAATCCAGAATATTGTTTTCGTTTTTATTCTTATTTACATCCTTCATGTTCTATCTATTTTAAGTGTTTCGAGGACTTTAATCACTATTAATTAGAATGAACATAATTTTGGGAGATGTCGTTAAATAATATAAAATCATTTTTGACACATGAAGTTTGTATTGTTTAACATCAAATGTCATTGGAAATGATTTTTACCAGATGAAGTTTGTACTTCCAAACGTCAAATATAAACTATTTTTGACAGCTGAAGTTTGTAATGTCATACGTCAAATGTCATTAGAAATTATTTTTGACAGATGTGCTTTGTACTATCAAATGTCAGTAGAAATGATATTTGATAATGACGTTTGTACTGTCAAACGTCTCTAGAAAGTTCAACGGGCGAGTGAAAATAGAAAAACTGGCTATTAACTTAGACGGCCATCGTCAAAAGTTTCTATATGTTAAGTGGACGCATAATTATTTTTCTACCTGTAAACACAGACGAAGTTTTTGCTTATTTTGGTTGTAAAGAGCTGTCAGGTTTGTGCCGAGTGTCTGAGAAGGATTGTAACGTTATCCTTACAGTGAAAATAAAATTATCGTTGGTTCACAAGAATAATGATATAACTCAAACATTTTCATTTTATGTGGAAGAACGACATATTGCTACTTCCAAAAATGACAGCTTGAAAGCGTACTAGAAAGTTGTGAGAGTATCATAATGAAAAATCACGCACATCTAATTGCCATCTTCGATAGTCAACGAGTCAAAATCACCAATTTTCGGCTAGAGTGACAAATCAAAATATGCCAGTTTTATTAAAAATTAATTAAAAACCTTGACAAGTCAAAATAGGATAATTAATGTGGAATATCGTCATTGCTCAAAAGAAGGATGAAATTATAATATTTTTGGATTTTCTCTAAATAATATCCAAGTAAACTTGTTATTGTTTGAATACAAGGTGAACAATAAAGTTTATTCCCAAAAAAATTAAATATTTTTAAAATGAAAAATTAGGAAACAAAAAAACTTGACGTCGTCGGGAATCTATGTTTTTGAGTTGTATCACTGTTCTTGTGTACCAACAATATAGCTCCAAAACTATGTGACATACGACAAAAATGGTCATGACCTTTTTTTATACTATTAATTTCCTATCTTTTTGTTTTAAATTAATTTTTGTAATGTTTATATTTATGGATATACAGCGCAACAAACTATTTCTAACCCTCTTTCGAGGCTGTAATGACTTATCAAAGTTAGTATCTAAAGTTCTTTTCTACTAGGATTTGTTACCTACTTTTTTATTTTTTCTAGAAAGCTTTTACGCACGCCTCTGCGTTATTCAGTGGCAGTATGGGGATTCTACTACCCACCAAAAACCAACTTCTATTTAGGTCCACCTTAGCGCTATAATGTCGGGGGGACCACCGTTTTTTACTTTTCTCTATTTTTCCTCTTCACCTAGCATCTATCTATCTGAATTAGGGCGTGGTTGAGCGCCCACTTGTACTGAAGCTCTAGGCTTATTGTACCCCTCACAGTTTCTATTCCATCAGATTGATTTTCTTGATAAATTCAAGAATATGTCTGATGGGTGCTTTCGCAATGTCTTCAGATTCCAGATATTGCACCCCGAAGTACCATTCCCGTTCCCATTTAAGGTTCCGACAGTGGCATAGTATATGAATAGGAGTTTCGTCCTCCTTTTCACATATTCTACATAGGGAGTCATATCCCTAAGAAATTTAGGTGTCTTCTAAGGCCGCAGCGTCCCGTAAGAAGTTCTATTACGGCCTTGAGTTCGCTTCTGCTAAGGTTTAGCAGTTGATGTTGTCTGCTCGTGGATGGCCCCTCTATGAATCTTTTGGACTATCTAAGTCCAGGAAGTTCCAACCAGAGCCTATAGTGTTCTCTATTTATTTGTTCCTTTAGCTCCCATTTAAGGAGGTCTGCTTTCTCGTTTCCAAACACTCCCTTATGTCCTGGCACCCATTCAAGGGTGACCTTGTTAGGTTCTGCCAGGGCCTGGAGGGACTGTTGGCAATCAAATATTGATTTAGATTGTACTTATACCCTTTTCAATGCTTTAATGGCTGCCTGACTGTCTGTCATGATAAAGATCCTCTTATTTCTAAGAGAGTAATTTGCCATGACTTTGGCGCAGGTATTTATTGCTGTTACTTTAGCCTGGAAGACTGTTGTCAGTGACCCCAGGTTCAAACTAATGGTCCTCCCTGAGTTCACATGGTAGATCCCAGCTCCTGTGCTGTTTTTCATTTTCGAACTGTCTGTATACCAGATTGATTCGTTTTGTTTTTCCCTATTTTCCCGGCTTTTGGCCCTTTCTGGTATTTGAATATCGAAAGGTTTCCTGAAGTCGTGAATAATGGTCGTTCTATCCGATGGCATTCTTAGTACCGGATTTTGTTTTAATTTCTCTAATATCATTGTATCCTTTTCTCGAAAGTTCCTATATAAATCCATTAGTAAACAGCTTGTATGCCGCCACCATAGCCTCTTTCTCCACCACAAGGTATATTCACCTAGCATAGTTCGCTTAGTCTCATTTCCTCCAGGTTAAAATCCAGGGTTGATATTTCGTTGCTCTATCTGTTACACCGAAAAATGATGTGCTTAGAACCATTCATCTCTTCATCATCAGAAGCTCAGCTCGCATCTGGGACCTTTCCAATCCTGTGTATGTACGGTCTAAAACACCCATGCCCACTGAGAAAATGAGTTAAATAATAATCAATCGGTTTGAAAGGACATGCAAGGATTTCGTACTTAATAGTATCTCTATTGCCTAGCCATACTTTATGGCGTTCTTTTTCTAGTTATTCTATTTGTGACAAATGATACATTTCAATTTGTCTTACACAGAATTATTTATTTATTTATTAATATCGATACTTTCATTCTTCAATTTCAGGCCACTAATTGGGATTCTTTCTTCTCTTGGATCCATTACATTCATTATTTTCTATTTCTGGCAGTGCTATCAACTCTATTAAAGTTTTAACCTTATCAATTCCGATCTATTCAATCTGGTCAACCCATTTCCTCCTTGGTCTTCTAAAATTAAATTACATATTTAAAATATGTACATTTGTAGAGAACCGCCTAGCATAAATATTTTTGCCCATATCCATAGTAGGTATATATCATATAAAATGCCACCCATATACATCGCAGGTTCTTTCTTATCTAAGAGGGTTAGAACAACCACCTTTCTTGTATGTTGGTAATAATAAGTTGTTATCCCAATCTTTTGGAATGTTGTGCTTTTCCCATGCCTCTCTGCATATATTTCACAATCATTCTTTTCTTTTTTCTTTTATACATTTAACATTATCTAGAGCTATATGCCGTCCTCGTCATTTGCTTTCCCTAGTTTTCTTCTCCGTCCATATTTGGTATTCAAGGACGATTATTTTTGATAAATTATGGCACGTCTGTCACAAAGAATATGACTTTTGATTTATGACAAATACATCCTTCAAACAATTTTGACTTTTGACAGATAACAAAATAATTTCAATAAAGCAAATGTTAAATTGTCAATGGATTGACAATTGAATAAGAACTTTAATTATTTTACAATACAAATTTAATTTTTTTTAGCTCTATTAAATTCTATATTATTTAACATTAAAAATATTTTTATTTGAATTTTTTTCTTTTAAATTGATGGATAGTACTGTCTAAATTATTCTATATAAAACATATTATTATAAACCTAATATGGATAAAAAATTGTACCAAATGAAAACATTGAATTAATTATTAAACATTTGGCGTTTTTTCCCCTTTCTCCTTTAACCATAATATTGGAGATTGTTTAACAAAAATGGTTAATATGAAGCGAATGAGATTTTTTTTAATAAGATATGAAACTGTTGTAAAGTAGAGGCATAGTTTAATGATGTTGGTGGCGAGAAGAACCACTTTGTTTGGTGGTACTTGCGCTAAATATGTGTTAGTGGATGATTTTAGATTATATAAATATAAAAAGTACTGAGAAAATAATTTGAAAAAGTGTACAAACAGTAGAAAACCGTTCAAATAAATACCAAGGGGAAACTTGACGAAATCCAAAAAATGGATTTAAGAAAATACATTTTTCAAAATATTTTGCAACTCCCAGTACGTATGATGTATAAAAGCTTTGACTATGAATTGGATAAATTTAAAAAAAATTCTATTTTAACCCAATTGGTAATTGTACGTATCAAAAAAAATATTATGACATTGTAGATGAGAAAGCATCTCCAGGACCGTAATTGTGGAGATTTGCCCCGGAGATACTTTTTAGAAAGAGATAAAAGTTATTTGAAATAGAATGGTAGATATGGATAAATATGTATAGAAATTTGATTGTCAAAGATATTTGCAATTGTGTATTATACGATTGTAAATTTATAGAATAATTCTAAAATTATTTAATGGAAACAGAAATCAGCGATTGGGTAGACAGACAAAAGCAATTATATGCCATTACCAAATTAGTTTTAAAAAAAGGTTATTTTTCGGAAATTTTAGAAAATTGAATGAAGTATTATATAAATATTCTAGTAAATATTGCGAATATCTTTGGACAATCAAAAGAATAATTTAAGAAAGCAAAAAGAAAACAATTTTCAATAAATTTATTACTTGTATATATTTAATTACACTGGTTGAAATATACTCAAATTATAGAATCGATTCTTGTTTTTCTTATCCTTTAAACCAGAGATTTTCAAGCTTTTCTAGAGCACTGTCCCTTTTAAAAAAAGTTTCAACGTATACTAAATATTAAAATACTGTAATCATATATTATTAGTACCTAATTTATTTGTTTATTTATCAAAGGAAGAGAAGAGCTTAAAAATCGTGTCACAGAAACGTCAAATGACCTTTTCCCTCCGGAAACAACTATTCCTTTGGCTAATACCGCAACTGGCGTTTTAATTGGAACTACATTTTTGTTAATTTATAGGATTCGACATTTTTTAACTCATTTTTCTTCAACTCATTATTTTGGATTTGAAGCTGCAGATCGATTTTGTAGGTTGATTATTCCTTTATGTTTCAATTCGCAAATGAATGCTGATAAATAATATAATGTACAGAGATTACTAAGATTACATTTGGTACTCCTTTTTTCAAATGCGCTATGAAACTCTTATGAAGCCCTGTCAGCTGTTGCTCTAGCTATTGCTCCAGCAGCAACATCAATAACAATCAATAATAAATGGTTATTAATATAAATCAGATCATTAATGAGGACAATTAATGCTTCAATCATTTTGATAAAAGACATTAGATGGACCGTACTCACTCAAGTGCGTGTTGAAAGTGCTTTGAAATTTAAGCTTCTATGCTTCAGCAAGGATAAAAACCTTCCTTTTAATAATCCATTAATTATTTCTATTGCATTTCTGGTTCTTCTGAAATTATTACATAATCTCTCCCCAACTGTCAGGAATATTACCTGGGTATTTTGTAAGTAGTCAGGGTGCAAGGTACAAGTGGATATCTACTAGATAAAAATATACATTTTCTAGGGTTTGTAGTTTGGCAAAATACCTTATTTTCTACGTATTTCCCTTTAATTTACGTGATATAAAAGCAATTTACTATAATGCAGTCATTATCGGCGGGTCCTTTTTGCCCACAAATCTCTGTTTTCTACCTGTGTAAGTAAAGGGGTGCGTTAATCTTACTGGTATTTTGCCCACAGTAGCATTCAGGTACCTAAACCCGCAAATTACATCCGCCCACAAATAGGTACCTACCTGATTATTAATAATTCTAATAGGTACTTACTTTGGGTGTTTACTGTTTATATTTCAGTCAGTTTTTATACGTTGATGATTGTAATTCGAGTGTTTATAAACAATAATTATTTCTATAATGTCAGCTACATTGATTAAAAGCACACGCGGGAAAGATGTACTCCTTTTGGAGAATTTTACGTTTGCCAAAGATAGAGAAATGAAAAGTGGAGAAGTTTCTTGGAGATGCTTCCAAAGAAAAACAAATGCTTGTAATGCCACTGTATTTACAATTGGTCCTGAACTTTTAGTATCCAGAGGCAACCTAATTCATAGCCATGAAGCAAATGAACCGAAATTAAACAGGAAAATTATTTCTAATTCGTGTAAGCGAAAAACAGTTCATGATATTTCGGAAAAACCTTCTAAAATTATCCGTAAAGTACTTGCTACTAATTTACCAGAGTCACTAACTACAATTGATGTGTCCTACATAAGAAAAACTATATACAACAGTCGTCGCAAAATACTACCAGGTCCATTACCTACAAATATACAAGAAGTGCATGATGCAGTTGACTTATATTCTAATACATTTAAAACCAGTAAAGGTGAACATTTTCTTTTAATAAATAGAAGAGAAAATAATATTATTGTATTTACATGTGAGACAAATATTCGTACTTTGTGTAAAATGAACGTCTTGTATATGGATGGAACATTTTCGTATTGTACAAAGTTTTTCCTACAATTATTTACCATTCATGGGCTGTGTAATGGACACTATGTGCCCCTGGTATATTGTTTATTACCAAACAAATCTACCGATATATATAAACATTTGTTTTCGTTATTGCATTATAAAATTTTGGAAACTTACAGTATTGCTTTAAATCCATCTAAAGTGTTCGTTGATTTTGAAATAGCAATTCATAAGGCGTTAATTTATATGTGGCCTAATACTGTAATCAATGGCTGCCGATTTCATCTACATCAAGCGTGGTATCGTAAAATTCAGTCTCTGGGATTAATGACTGAATATACAACTAACAGTGATACCGGAAAATGGCTTAAAACATCATTTGGGTTGACATATTTAAACGCCGATGAAGTTGGAGACTGTTTTGTGTTTGACTTAATGGCAAGTAAACCAGAAAATGCCGTTCTCGATAGGTATGCCGATTACCTATTAGAAACATATATTGAAGAAAATTCTACATTTCCTCCAAGTATATGGGCAGAAAAAACAGCTTCAATTACAAGAACTACAAATGCCTGTGAGTCGTTTCATTCAAGGTTTAATTCTTCATTCTACTGTACACATCCTTCTGTATATATTTTTATAGAAAAGCTTAAAGACTTTCAAATCGACACATATGTCACAATACAAAGCTTAAGTATACCTAAGAAAATCAAAGACAAAAGTGTAAAACAAAAAATTCAGTGTTTAGAAAAATTTATACAGCGATTTGATCTGCAGCAAATCAGCAGATTAGAGTATATAAAATTTGTATCACATTTATCCCTCCCAGTTGAAAAATATGTAAATAAAATATAAATATATAAAAAATATAATATAACTTATGTATACTTACTTTTTTATAATAATAAAAATTAGTGTTTAATATAATTTTTAGTTTAATTAATAATGTGTTTTTACTTTTCAAAAATATATAAAAAATAATAAATGAAAGATATATCTATTATGATTTATTCAGTTAGAAATAAATTTGGGCAAAATACCAACAGGATTAAGATGACCTTTTACTTGCTGTGGGCAAATTACCTATAGGATTAGCAGCTTTAAATATTTTGTGGGCAAATTACCTCCGCCCGTCATTATTGGACTGTAACCTAGATTTATAAATGACATAAGTTATAAGTTTAGTCAAATATGACCTAAAGAATACAAAATTGAACATAACATTCGCTTATTTTTATAACCTATGATTAAATTTATTATATCTTTATGATAAGATAACCTTGTATGAATAAAAATAGAATGAAAACCTCACCCACTAGGGGGTGATCTAGAAAAGATAAAATGTATTTAGATGACCATTTGAAAGCATTAAAATAAAAGTATTGTACGCCATCTTTTTCTTATATCTATTAATCGAAAATCACATGTCAAGAAGTCTTACTTTTTGAGTGAACTCTGTAGAATAATGGCACCATTGTTTTCTGAGCAATAACCGATAGTTTTTCGTAACTTTAACCCAATTTTTCATTATTATTATTACATTATTAACCAATAAGATGAAGACATTTCTGATGATTCCGGCATGGACATTACTTTTCAATAATTTAGTTTAATGTTGATTTATTTTCGATATAAATTATAGAGGACTTTGGTTAGTTATTTCGTTTTATAAAATGAAAAAGAACGGCTAGAATCTTGGTAACTCTTTCTATAGAAAGTAAAATTTTAATTATTAAGTCAAAAAATGGAGAGCGTCTTACAAAATATTAATTATTTATGGCTGATTTTTATTAACTAAAGAATGTTATAAGAACAATAAAATAGAACATAAGCAAATGGGTCCCTTGAGCTATTTATTAATATAAAACAAAGAAATTCGTTCCTACTGGATGAATCTATGGTAAAAAAGCGTCAGCTATAATACAATAAATAGAGGACCAATTTATAAATTTAACATTTCAACTAAAGTAAAAACAATTTTAGAAATTTTCTCTTTTTTTTGTAGGAAATTATTGAACACCTTCATAAACTCGATATGGCAACTCGACAAAAAAATAACTCTACAGGAAAGGATTAGAATTTCAATAATTCAAAGTCGTGGATAACAACCTTATCGTGTTCTGTAAAGAAAATAAACAATTTCGAAATTGTAAACTGCGATTTCCTGTCGACTGCCAATTTTGCAGATTTCTGCAAATTGACCTGTCGATGAAGCGGGGCCGGTGTTCGATTTTTACTTTGAGTCCGTTTACCTTTTTGTCGACTGAAAATTGATGACATCGAAAAACGCTGATAAATAATTCGAAAGTGTATTGTTAACGTAAAAACAATTTTTTCTGCGGTCGTAGTTTTATTTTTGAGAGAAAAAGAAAGGATTTTAAATATATTATACACCAAAAAAATGTTTGTTTCCTATTTTTTCGAATTAAGAATTAATTCTTCATCTCTGAATAGTATAAAACAAAGTCGATGTTTATCTCTGTCTGTTTTCATTAATAGAAAAAGCGATAAACGGGGAAAATATGTGTATATAAGTTGTAAATATATTGTACAAAATGGCCAAACTGTGACGGTGTTCTGTCAAAAAAAAAAAAAAAAAGGGGCTGGTCTCTAGTCACTAGTTATAAAATATTATACAAATTATTCTTTTATCAAAAATAAAAAAATAGACAATTAGATTTTCGAATAAAAAAAATCTACTTAAATTTTAGATATTATATAGGGTGTCAATTTGAAAACTTCCTACTCTTATTATCTTCCATCCATTATCGAAAAGATATATTAATTTCATTTTCAATGAATAATTTTAGGCCTTATGGTTTTACCCCCTAAGAGGAGTAATGTTACCCAAGGAATCTTAAATGGTAAGATGGTCATGTAACACATCATTTAAAAGATATTTTTATGGAGAATTTAACAATATGAATATGAATTGCGTTGTTGATACTTTTAGTGCCCTCTGGAGAGATAAAAAACTGTTACGTATTGTAAAACTTTAATAGAAAGCTAAGTTTATTAGTGATTTAATGCGTAGCATAAATTTTTAATTTTATTTGATTGCGATTAAAGTTTATATTTCTTAAAATTAAAAATCTGATCGATCTTTGAATTATTTACATGGGCATCTCCAAAAAAAAACGTTCTCCCATTTTCTTAAAATTGATAGGTCAAAAGAATTTTGTTTAATCTAAAAAAATTAAAAACATACAAATCT